AAATAAATAAGTAAATAAGTAAATAAGTAAATAAATAAATATCTATATTTTCAGACTGCCTTCTTAAATGCACCAAAGAATTTCAAAAGAAAATCAGTCTGTGCTCTACAGATTACAGCAGAGCACCTGATTGTGTGAATCATGAAAACCTCTGAACTGTTAGAAAAGATATGGATGTGCCATAGTATGAGAAATGACTTCTAGGGCAGAATAAGACGAAACAGAATAGCTTCCAGTTTCCAGGGTATTGGCAAGGATGCATTTTATCTCCTTGTCTTTTCAATCTATATGCAGAACACATCACATCAAAACCTTATTAGATTCAGAGGAGCTAGGAAGAAACATAAATAATTTAAGAGATGCAAATGATACCCTTATATTGGCCAGAAACAGCAATGACAACTGATGAAGAAAGTGCAACAGCAGAATTACATTAAAAACCCTACAAAATAATTATAATCTCCGCCATAAAGAGGGTGGATAAAAATCAACAGTTTTTTTAAAAAGTCACAATTAATTAAATTAATTAAATAAAAATGAATTAATTTAAAAAAAAAACAAAATTGTCATTTAAATCATTAAAAATCCAATTTCTAAAATTTAAATCAAACCAACTCGGGGAGAAACTGAAGTGACTAAAGTTTTTCTTTACCATGGTTCAATAGTCAATCAGAATGGGGATGGCAGACACGAAATCAGAAGACAACTGAGACTTGGAAGGGCAGTTATGAAGAAGCTAGCAAAAATCCCTGCAGGTGACACCCTCTTACTGGCAGAAAGTAACAGTGACTTGAAATTACTTTTACGGAAAGTGAAAGAAGAAAGTGACAAATCAAAACTGCAACTACATAAGAACTACACAAGTTTAGTGTTGCTAATGAAGAAAGTGAAATAGATCTTGGTTCAGTCCTCAATCCAAAAGGAGACTGCAGGCAATGAATCAGAAGACTGAGCCTAGGAAGGGTAGTAATGAAGGAACTAGAAAAGATAATCAAGTGCAAGGATGTGTTAAAGGAGACCAAGACAATCCACACTATTGCATTCCTAATCATGATGACCAACAGACAAGACCGACAGACACTAGGTATATCTACTTAGAAATAAGTTCAATTGCAGACTTGACTACCCCTTAAAAACTCCAGTGTTTTCTACAATGATAGGGGCTTGATTTAGCAAGTTTAAGATAATTAGTAAACAAATCTAAGCTAGCCTTGAGGCAAATCTGTTTCAAAATCTGTTTCAAAATGATGGCTCTTTATTAACGATTTTATTTAATGTAGCAGAGATAGGTAAATTCAGCAAGTCCAGGGCCAATTTTATGCACTTAGGGCCCCTCAAAGGCTCCAAGAACCTTCAAAAATAGGAGGGCAAATTGAATTTGGAACTGTCTTGTAAGTTAACTTCCAGTTTTAAAATTCTTTGCTTTGTTTGGTGTTAAACAGGTGTGGGACTGTAACCTATGTCAAATGAATGAATTACTGCTCATAGAGGCATTAAGAAGCCATATTTTTTCCTTTTTTTCTGGCTAGTAAAGAAGGTGACACTGCAAAAACGGCCCATAGTGGAGTTTGATCACGCCAGGGCAACCTAGACTACTTTGCTTTCTTCACGGGTAGAAGATTCCTGTCTATATGATGTGGGGTGGGAGAGGCAGAAATCAACAAGGCGGCAACCACTGTACCACAGCAGGCACAGGGCAAGATGGAAGTTGGGAGCAACTATTTTTTCCTTGTCTCATTTACTCTTCAAAGGATGGAAATTAACTGCACCAGCTCCATGGCTAGCATAGTTTCAGAACTGTGGAGAACACAGAATTATGTGGATCTACAACCTCCTCAACACATAGTGTTTGGCCTTAGTGTCACTGGAGCAGTACCAGCATCTGCTGTTGCCACATGGGAAAAAAGTTCCTTCTCAGCCAAGGGACCTGGATGTTCACAACAAACCCCATGAAGGGAACAGCCCAATAGGAACAGTCTGTAATACAATTTTTGGGCTCTTCTACTCCAACTTTCTCCTGGGAACTTTTCTAGAAGACAGTTGGTAGCAAACAACTCTCTGGAAGAAGGGAGAGTCCAGCCAGAGTATATTTTGTTCTCTGGGCCACAGTTATCTTTCAAGTGGCCTCTAAAGAGCCATCTCTTTATCTTGGACTATAATTCATGTAGAGCTAGTATAGTTCAGTGGGTTGGAGCAAATGGCTGGGGAGCCGGAGGTCGTGAGTTTGAATTCCCACTGTGCCTCTCAATAGAGGGGCCAATAAAGATAACATGAAATATGTATAGCTGATAGGATTGTATGTGTCGCCACATGTGCAGCCTTGGACAATGTGCACCGTCCCACATTACCTCTAGAAACAGGGACTGCTAAACACTGGTGAGTACCTTCTACCTGAAAAACTCTGGAAAGACCACCACTTGACATCAAATAACTATTATAATCTAGGATAGCTGGAGGTGGGAGTGGGCTGGATTTATCTCTATATAGTGCTGCTTGGTTTTAATGGTTAATTTTTATTTTAATGTTATTCTATGCTTTTATCATGTTTTGTGGTTTTTAAATGTGGTTATACATCACCCACTAGTTTATTCTAAAATATTTATTTTTTTAAAAAAGTATTTATTTATTTAATATATTTTATCCTGCTTTTCTGATTAAAAAGAACCCAAGGTGCCATCACTACCTACCTTTCAGAAGTAGGAAGGATGGATGTCTGGTTTTAGTAAAAAAAAAGGTATAGTACTACCAAGATAATCTTTGTAATTTCACAAAGTTTAGATTATTTGATATGTATAAACTGAATAGATAAGAATTGCAGTATCACCTTTTCAAAGTGGATTTTCTAGAAATTATCTAGATTTTGTATTCTCAAAGGCTTTCACGGCTGCGATCCGATAGTTGTTGTAAGTTTTTTCAGTCTGTTTGGCAATGTTCTGGAGGTTTTTCTTCTTAATGTTTTGCCAGTCTCTGTGGCCAGCATCTTCAGAGGACAGAACTCTGTCTGTGTTCTACTCCTGTCCTCTAAAGATGCCAGGCACAGAGACTGGCGAAACATTAGGAAGAAAAACCCCCAGAACACAGCCAAACAGCCCGAAAAACCTACAACAACCTATCTAGTTTCTATAAATGCCTAATAACAGTGGTGCACACATTAGTAATCTGAAAAAATAACTACTGTAAAGCTGTCTATGAAGGGCAGCTGTTGAAAACAGTACAGGAGACTTCAGCAGGTTCAAAATGTGGCAGCCAGACTGATTTTTGGGACAAGTACATTTGAACATATATCTTTAGTCTTGGTACATTGCACTCGCTCCCTATCAGTTTCTGTGATCAATTAAAAGTGCTGGTTATAACCTATAAAGCTCTTAACAGTTTAGGACTTCAATATACTTGGAGCATCTCCCTCCAAAAAACAGCTACTCATTTCATACACTCCTCCCAATCCACAGTGTTACAGATGGCCATGCCAAGGGAAGCTAGAAAGATTATAACAAGAAATTCTGTTTTCTTGGTGGTGGCCCAACTGCTAACTGACATGCACCATCCTTGTTCCCAATGTTTGGGAAATTACACAAGGCAAAATTATATAAGGCAGCCTTTAAGAACATCTCTCTAAATGCTACTCATTTTTTATTTGAAATTTAGGCTCCCTTTGTATTCCAACCAGATTTGTGTTGGCTATTTTATTGTGTTAATTATGTGATACAGGAATGAAGCTGGCGGTAATGGTTGGGTGACTTGTGTTTTACCCTGTACACTGCCCAGAGTAGTGTGTATTCACTAATTAGACAATATATAAATCAAACAAATAAAATCAAATTTGAGACCATTGTTCTGGATTCGGATAAATTATACTCTTTAGCAGGTCGCTTAGTATGAAGTTCTTTTTGCATCTTGATTTTAATCAGCATATTTGCTGCAGTGCTATGGACTTGGGCGATAGGAGTTTAGCCAAGCATGAGTAGAACTGGCAACAGTGCATGGACGACTTCAAGTGGACTTACTCCCAGTTAAGTATGCTTCGGACACAGATAAGTATATAAAATACCAAAGACTGTACCGCTGCAAAGTGGGTCCTCCTTACTAATAAATATGCAAGGTATAATATTGTTAAAATTCTACCTCAGAGACATGGAAGGAAGGAAACGCTTGAGAAACGCGGCATTGCAAGGGTGACGGGCGCTTATTTGAGAGTTAGCACGTGGGATGATTTCGGAGTCCCAGGGAAGCTCAGCTGGATCATCATGAACAGAACTATGTTAAAGGTACAAATGTTAACACGAAAGGGTTGTTCTTGACAAGCAGGACATTCCCATCATACACACTACGAAATGCTGCTGCCGCCGGCCCCCTTCCCCACCCCCAGTGCTCTTGATGTATATACACTGTACGACACACATATATAGTCAAAGAACACTTCATTCGAACAACCCATTTGTTTTCTTACATATATTTCACCCTCTTTCTTAAATATTTCCCGTACTGAAGTCACGCCTCTTTTCTATCACAACCCCGGAAACCCCTCCAAGCATTTCCGGGTCATTTGCTGAACCAGGCCCAGTCAGAATCAAACACGAACGAGGTCTCTCCGCCACACTGCACTACGCATGCCCGGCTTAGACCTAGGCAGGCGTGCCCAGCTAATGCCACGTTCCAAATCAGAGAGGGGATTAGGACTCGGAGGCGGTGATTTGGAATTTGGGGGAGGTTTAGAAACCCTTAACCAATGAGAAGCAGCTAAACGGACTTCAGAGGGCACAGCCTCATCCAATCCCGGTCAAGAAAAAGATCGGTAAGGCCAATCAAAGCCGACGGAACATAGGAAACGCTCAGACTTGTTAGGAAGTGGAGGGCAAAGTGACGCGACCTTCCATCATGACCAATAAGAGAGTTGGGGCGTCCCTAGACTCTCCTTCCCCTTCAATGAGAGCAGAAGCGTAGGAGGCCGGAAGTAGCCAATAGGCGGTCGCTCGAGGAGGGAAAGGGCGGGTTTATAAGCCGGAGGCGGGGGGACAAGTGTTCTCTTTCGCGGCGCCTTCTTGTTGTCGGGTGCCTTCGCTCGGTGTCCTGCCGTCACGCTCAACGCCGCCATGAAGACCGTCCGGCTTCTGTGTCCGCTCTTCTGCCTGCTTTTATTAGGCCGGGCTTGGGCCGCCGAGGAGGCAGACTTTGAGGAAGAGGAGGGCGTGCTCGTCTTGAAGGCGGCAAACTTCGAGCGGGCGCTGGAGAAATTCCCGCATATCCTGGTGGAGTTCTGTGAGTTGGTCCGGGTGGGGTGGGGTGGAGGCGAGCTGACTGGGGCAGGCCGCG